TACAGTAAAATACCGTGTATTCGTTAATTATTCCAAAGTATCTAAACTTAATTTCTTCATTTTAAAAAACTTTCAACAAGTAAACACTTTGTCATTTTTTTAGGTCCTAATATTTGTGCCAAACCAATTACATTTGAATCTTTCAGAGTCCAGTCGAAACAACAAACATATTAAAGTTTAACCAATAAATACATTAGGAAGAAAATGTTGTATACCAATCAGCGTTGCTTCTATTACTGACGTGAACAATGACGTCATAACGTTGATAGAGTGGTACGTAGCTGAGAATATGAAATGGTAAATAGCATATTATAAACCTGTTAGAACCTTCGCTCCAGGCTATACGCTTTTGTATTATGGGTAGTAAAAAAAAACTCAAAATCGAGACAGTTTATAGAATCTACTGATAAAGAGAACTTAATGATGCCTGAGACATGGATTCCTACATTTATATTATATCACATAGAGCAAAGTTACGATAAAATAAGATTGGTTCTAGCAAATGTCATCGAATGCGATGCATAATGCACGTTAATATTTTTTTTTTGTTAGGTTATAGGTATATGTAAATGTCTGTCTTACGAGATATTCATTTATGAACTTATAAAATCACAGACTAGGAAATATGTTTTCTCAAAAATCATCTATTAGGATCAAGATCTTCAACCTATCGTGCTGATTTGTAACTGAAATGTATAGTACAAAATAATAACTTGCTTAATAACTTTAAAATTGGGTCGTGAATTGGTAAGTTATGGCCGCGAACATTCTTCATTGAATTTAAAAGCTAGAAACCAGTAAACCAATACTGTATGAGGAGCCACTAATCACACATCTAACTGCTAGTGACGCGCCAATTGTCCAACTGAAGGCGCCTTGATGAGCTGCTGTTGACACGTCTAACAGTCAGTGACGCAGTAATTGCTCAACTGAAGGTGTCATGATGAGCTGCTGTTGACACAGTTAAGTTTTCATGAGGTCATGGCACGAGTCGCTACTTTTTACACAGCCATGACATTGTACTGCATGCTGAAAGCGTTACAATGAGCCGCAGCTAACATTGAATGACGTGTATTTGTTAAACTCACGGCACACGACGAGTCGCTGTTAACACAGCTATGACGTTGTAACTGTTGAACTGGAGGCGTCACAATGAGCCACTGCTGAGACAGATAACAAGCAATGACATGCTACTTCATGAACTAAAGGGAGTCACGATGAGCCACTGTTGATACAGCCATGACGTAGTAGTTATTGAACTGAAGGCGCCATGATAAGCCACTGTTTACCAGCTAATATACATTTACTTTGAGTTGTTGAATAGAACGCGAAACGATGAACCGCTGTATAGACACAACTAACATGCCTTGAACAAAAGGTTGATTTATGTTGGAGAAACACGGCTCGACCACTGCTAATATTGACGGAACATTAACGATCAAGTAGCGCCTTAAAGTAAAGAGAATGGTGCCTATATAGAAGCCTGCCAGCCTACGAAAACGTTTTTGTTAGGAAAACTGATAGAAATTTAGATATGAGACTTTCAGAACATGAAAATGATGTTAAAAATAGTTGAACAAATATTTCTATATTTGTACACACTAAGATTCTGTTTGTAGTTAAGCGCAAAGCTACACAATGATCTATCTGTGTTTTGCTCACCACGGGTATCGAAACCTGGTTTCTTACGTTGTAAGTCCGCAGACATATCTCTGTGTTAGTGAGGGACCCGTACGAGAAATATTGATCATCAAATCAACTAGATATTAACCAAAATAATACGTAAAACTAGAAATTATGTAAAAAAAAAAAAAGAATTGTGGAAAATTCGTTAATCCAAAGGTTGGCAAGCTTTAATAACACTGACGGTCACTTTAAGCTGAGCCCCTTTCTGACGTCACATGTGCTGAAGCAACTTTCAAAATAAGCTGTGTGTGTGTGTTTTGTGAGATAGCAAATTCATTTTTTTATTATTATGGTTGTGTTTATCATTCATTTGTTATTTTCTTCATTCGTTTAGTTTATCCATGGATTTTTAGTTGCATTAAAACGCTAACTCTCCTTCTAGCTAATCATTTGTATTTTGAGTAAATAATGTGTGTATGATGAAACAGAGACCAACTTCCCTAGCGGTGATTTACAGATACTATTAATGTAGCAGAATATTATGTATATATATGATGTACTTTCGTGATCTACTCAGCGAATAAATACTCTGCCCGAAGCTTCACTAAGAGAGAGAGAAATAGTGTGTGTGTGTCAGTTAGTGAATTAATGCTGTTTGTCACTCGATATTGTTATTAATATTGAAAGGTATTTTTGAATATTGTGTTTGCTGTATTTTTTGTAATTAGGTTTTTTTTCTGGTTCTTTTTTCTGATTCCATTATTTGACATAATATTTTTATTTATGATATATGGTTTATTAACATTATTGTCAAGTCCTGGCCAGGCACGTGTTTATTAACTGTGTTTTCGTAAGTGTTGAATTTATTTCTAAGTGTTGTTATTGTTGAACAAATTGCTTCTTTTTTGTTGTTGTTGAACCCTGATTGTAGCCGCGTGTTCATTTTAGACCGTTTCTTTCACAAGTAGGACAGTATCCCTATTAACTTGTTGTTGTTCCGTAATAGTGGATCTAAAACACATTTTAGACTAGCTATACTTCTGCAGGATCCTGTTTGTAAGTGTCCTGTTTGA